TTAACATTTCATGTGGTAAAAAATTTTTTTTTTCATACTTTTGGGCGTCTTGCACGGATTAATTTGATTTCCATTATTTCTTATGGGGAAAATTCATTCGCATACCGAACATTTCGCATAACAACCAGCCCTCTTGCACGGATTAAGGTCGCTATGCGGGGGTCCACTGTACTATCAATAAAATGTATTTTTTTTTTTTGTGAATATTTTTGGGTTTCTGGAACGGATTAATTGTATTTCCATTATTTCTTATGGGAAATATTGCTTCGCCTTTCAAACTTTTTGAATTTTGAACTAGCTCCTGGAACGGATTAAGTTCAAAACTTGAGGTTCGATTGTACATTAGGTTCCTAGAACCTCCTACAAAATCAGAATCCATAAATACCACTAAATACTGACCCTATAGTAAATTTTGCTTCACATTTTTGTTTATCTCGTGTTCAGAAGCGACAACACGAAACCGACTCCTCCAATGTTGTTGGAGGTATACAGGGCCACTAACAATATATGCCGCCCTCCCTATCTTCCACCACCCTAAACCAATACCAACATCTCCTCCAAGGTACAGTAAGTGTAAATATTTCTATTTATAGTGTAAATATTTCTTATTTATAAATTACATACACTGTTTGTGTGAATGGTGGTGGTAGCTCTGCTGCTGCCCACTACCACTAATATGTATGGCTTATGCTCTCAGTGGCCCTTATAAACCCAACAACAACACACCATCACTTGCCACATACATAAGGACATATGTTATTCATTCTAGAGTATGTATCATGTTTCTGTTATTAATATTGTTTATTATGTCATATTAGATGAATTGTGATAGATAAATAAGCGGCAGAGTTGATAATAGCATCATATATAAGCCTCCCTCATCATTTTGCATACACCAACAAGACTCTTCAATAAAGGTAAAAGTGATTTAAATGTTCACTTACCCATTTCATTAGTTATTATATTTAGTTTTCATTGGCCCATGGCCGGGCTCAGAGAGTAGATATACTCTCGAAATTCTTCAAAGGTATATCAAAGGTAAAGGTGTAGTTAATCTTAAAAAAATGTATTTTTTTTTTTTTAAATATTTTTGGGTGTCTGAAATGGTTTAATTGGATTTACATTAATTCTTATGGGAAATGTTATTTCGGTTATCTGTCATTTCACTTTTAGGCCGACCTTCTGGAATGGATTACAGCCGATAATCGAGGGTCCACTGTATGTGAATTTGAAAATCCAGAAATTTTGGGGTTCAACTTTACTGTACGTAGTACCTACTTTATAATGTTCATTCCATGTTCACAGGCTGTTGTTGCCAATAGAACATTACTCTTTAATCCAAATTTTAATAGGTTTATTGTTTCTTGAAATCCGAAACAACACATTCCTCAGTATTATAACATGTTTACACAGCTGAGCTATGTATTTTACTACAGTACAAGTACTGCATTTTACTACTCTTACCTTAAGTTAATAATAAAATAGAAAACGGAAACTATAAGCTTAACCCTTTCAGGGTCCGTCCCGTAGATCTACGGCTTCACGTTGAGGTCCCAAACGGTAGATCTCACACCAAAATTCTAGCGCCGTCAATATTTAGCGGCGAAAGGCTATGGGCCTACATGTGAGAGAACATGTCTGCCGTGGTGGGTAGTGCGCCATAACAAAAATCTAGGCGCCCGCATAGCATTGTAGGAACGCGGGCTTTGTTACCCTTGTTCACCATGCTCGTCGCAATGTAGCTCTCACTCCCGGAAATTGGGACTCTCCTTTCTATCTGAAGTTCTGACACTGATGGAAGTGGAATGAAGACAAATTATATGCGCTTTGATCAGTTAGTGATCGAAAGGATATGACCCAGTGATATCGATAATTGTGTCAGAAACCTGCGATCTCAACACTTCTACCTCTGGTGAGGGGCACTCGTGCTCATGGTCGGTTGTGCCTCAAACGCAAGAGAAAACTAAGATTTTCGCCGAGGCCAGGCCTCTGACTCAAGTAATGATGTGATAGTGACGTGGATTGTGATTTTATTGCGCTTGTCGAATCATTCGAAGTAGTGATTGTGAGGAATCATATTCACAGTGATGCGTCGGTATGTTTCGCCGCCACAATGCGCTCGTGTAGTGTACCTATGCTGTGCCCATGGTGGACGGAGTACACCCGTCGGCCCTACACCAGGTTTTGATTAGTGATAGTGGGATGATGTGGCTACACTTGGCATGGATAGACCACAGTCATCAGTAGCTGGTGGTAGTGGTGATGCGTAGTGGCCCGCCATGTGTGACTCACCAGCCCAGGCTCTGAGGACCCATGTCTGCTGACTCGTCAGTTCAAGGAACAAAAGCAAGAGGTCAGCCCACCATGCCCACCACAACCACAACTCACCCACACAACACCCAGCCTATGATGTACAGTATTCCAACCAGCCAACCGTTTATTATCTGGGATGCAGTAACATCCCAATTTTGTTCCAAGCCCACCTCTTTGATGACTCTCAGTGGAATTCTACCTACTGTCCCCTTGGAACCGCGGCCAATGAAATGGAATTCTTTGCATTATTCTTTGACCTGCCATTGATGGAAACTTTGTCAGGAGCAAGTAATAAGTATTTTGAGTACTCCATGGCAAATACGATCACTACCACCTAGTCAAGACCTATCACAGGTGGAAAGAGATGACCTGTTGCAGAAATGTATTTGCTTTTATGCCAACAATAATTGCTTATGCCTCATGTCTTTAAGCATAATATCAAAAGGCATACTGGTCCACAGATCGGGCTAATTCTACCCCGGTCTTCAGTTGAAATCATTCCCAGTGAAACAGGTGTTATCTTACTGTTACAGTATGTTGCACTTCTCTGACAAACAGGCCCGACAGATGTGAGTAGGTTATTAAGATTTCGATAATGTTTATGTATCTCAAACAAAAGTTCTTGCACTATACTTTTATCCAGTTCAAGAATCTTGTAAATTGACGTGTCATTTGATTGTGTTCAAAGGTTTAGTCTTGTCATTTCAAGCAGTAAATATACCGGCCAAGAGAAAATGCTTTGGTAGTTAAAATGTTTTACTCTGTGACATGTGACAGTGGCCTGGTGTTGAATATTGTTGTTACACGGAAAGTAAAATTGAAAAGATACCAAGCATGTTATTGGTAGTCATAGGTGACGTAGTGAGAACATGAGGCGCCTTATCTTGGTAAAGGGGCATACATTTTATACAATAATGCGTTCACAAGCCCATTACTCAGTGAGTTCATGCGAAGTGAACAAGACTGATGTGTGGTGGCCACAGTGCTTTTAATCGTAAAGATATGCCCCAGGCTCTCGCAGAGTGTCTCGTTGGTGATGACCGGGCAGGTGTGACTGGCAATGACATCATGCTTAGGTGTGGCATGACAAACGAGATGTCACATTGTTGAAACCAGACCGTAATGAAATGCAAGGACAGTGGAAAAGTTTGCATCGAGTGACAAATGAATGTTTGGGGTGGTGGTATTCGGAAACCGGTCACATGATTGTTATACACAAAAAATTGCGCTTGTGTTGACAAGTGACATGCAGATTCGCTTTGTTTGTTAGAGTTTCGTAAAAGTTACAAAGTGGTAATGGAAACTTTTCTTCCATCTCATGGACATTTTCAATGTTCGAATGCATATAATATCGTACTCCAAATAAAGACTGGCAAAGGACCACCGTTATGGTGAATTTTGTATGTTATTTCATACAACTATAAAGAAGTACTGTACCAGGTAAGAAACACTGCTGTACAAACAAGTCCTCGAATTACCTCAGGATATACCAAGCATTTTGAGGAGGGAGGATGATCATTTATAATACAGCTTCCTTCAACTCAGAAGAAATTTGCTCAGAAGAGATGTATCGTCTGTGCACAAACAACAACGACGGCAACAAAAGAGCAAAGCACTCGGTTTGTGTGTGAGAGAGAATGTAAGGTGAGGCGCCCTCTGTGTTATGGTGCCTTGTTTCAAGGAGTTTCCACAAGAAAACTCCAGCTGTTCTACAAACCATGTCCAGTGATTGTAAATATGTAAATATATGATAGAACATTTAGTATTATTCAGATTTGTGCATGTTTATTGTAATAAACAACAGTGGTAAACAATATATGTTAATAAAACTTAGTGCGGTTTATTGTTGTTCAATACAGTGAGTTTGTATCTATAATTATATACAGTCTTGGTCTCTCAGGCCCCAAATAAGTTAGTAGGAAAAGAAAAAATTGGAAAAGAAAGAAAAAATACAAAAACCGCCCTAATTAAAGTAATGCTCGTATGTGATTCATCTGATGTTCGCGCCACCACATCAATTTTGGACAAAATCTTCTTGGCAATGTATCTCGGTAAGTACTGATCAGAATTTTTTTTTTTTGTCTTATTACCTTCACAAAAATATACTCTTTAATTCTGTAGGAATTTTTTTTTTTTCTTTTTTTCAAAATTTCTTGGACACTGGAGCACCACTTCAGATTTTGGCCTTGGACCCTGAAGGGGTTAAACTTCTTTCCACAAATGCACTTCTGATTAATACTGAAGTCTATGTGTAAATAAGTGTTTGTTGGCACAGTATATATATTTAGCTTATTGTCGCTTATCTCTGGAATGTATCTCAAAGTCAGTAGCAGGGGATCAGAGTATTGTAAAATGCACTCTTCCACTGCAGTAAATACCATCAGCAGCACTAAAAAGTTTGTTACAACTCTAACAATACAAGGTTCAGGAACACTGCACATTACATATACAATTACAGTACTGTACTGTATCATTCTTGAACACTTATAGGTACGCTTGATGATAGACATGCGTAAACTTATAGGCACATTTGATGCAGTTTATGCATAAACTTATAGGCACAATTAATACAGTTCATGCATCAACTTACAGGCGCACTCAATGCAGTTGATGTAACAGCTCAGAAGGCACACGATGCAGGTCATGCGTAACTTACAGGCACACGATGTTGTCATGCGTACACTTACAGGAACACCAACACAGTTATGGGCTAAACTTACAGGCACACTTGATGCAGTCATGCACCTTGGTCATACTAATACAATGCTACAGGAGCGGGTACTCCTGAGTAGTCTAATTTTTACATTACCCTTAAGCATATACAGTGCTAGAGAATGAAAGAAATCAGGTGGATTTGAGGAAGAAAAAAGGGGCAACTCAGTTCCTTGATTCAAGAGCCCTTCACCTTGCAAGGGCAATGTACTTCTAAATTAAATTTAAGACTGCAGTCTGATTTAAAGCTGTAAGATTATACTGCTACACAATATCAATCACCAAGTGGAGAAGAGCAGCATTAGTTGCTGCTAATATAAATATATAAGTATACATATATATATAAAAAACATCTATATATTACGTGTAATACAGTGGACCGGTTAAGATTTTAAATCCGTGAAGAGGGCTTCATTCGTTATGCGAAAATAATTCGTTTTGCGAATGAATTTTCCCCATAAGAACTAATGGAAATCAACATTTATCCGTGCAAGACGCAAAAATCTGCCCCCCCCTTTTTTTTTACACCTGAAATGTTATTTTAATACACACAAACTGAAAAGGCATCACAAATTAACTGCCACTTACTTTTATTGAAGATCTGGTGATGATGTAGGGATGGGAGGAGGGGCGATTGAGAGCATTATCTTCTTACTGTTTAGAAGGGGAAATCTACCTTCCATTAGACTTGAGGTAGCTAAATGTCCTTTTACAGGGGTTATTCCCTTCTTCTTTTAATGCCCCTAGGACCAGCTGAGAGTCACTGGACCTCTGTCGCACAACAAAATCTGTCCATAGAGCTCTGTTTACCTCCGTTCCTTTACGATTTGTCTACAAATGCGGCCACAAACTTGTCATTGAAATAGTCCCAGCACGGCTTGCACAGCTGTGTCAGGGTGATTTTCATCATATAAAGGTTTGCAGTTCAACCACTGGCACATTCTTAATCTTTGAAGTAGGAATCAATGGATTCACAAACTGGCATAGGCTTCTCAGTGTTAGCCAAACCTTCAAAAATCTTTCTTTAAAATTTTCATACTAATTCTCACCCTTTTTATCACAGGTTGGCATAGAAGCTTTCTTGGGGCCATGGTCACTTATTTTCCATGAAACCGCACCGAAAAAACACACTGTACTAATACGAAATATTCGAGTGTATGCTTGGATGTTACGCGGAGTGCCGGTACACCGGCCCGGGACTGGTAATACAATTGGGACGGCCGGGCACATGTGAGGCTGGAGAGGCACATTGGCAGCGTCTCGGACGAAAATGGTTATTTATGCGGTTTTTAATCGTATGCGCGGCAAAAAATTTTGGATTTAAAAGTAATCAAGGGAGGCGGAAAAATCGCTATGTGATGCCATCGTTATGCGGGGGTCCATGTATATATATTTATAAATAAAAAAAAAAAAAACAAAAAAAAAAAAAAAAAAATATATCTATATATATATATTATTTATATATATTATATATATATATATAACTATATATTTACTATATAGATATATCTATATATTAGAATATATATATATATATATTTTATTTTTCCACAAGTTGGTCGTTCTCCCACTAGGCAGGGTGACCCAAAAAAAGAAAAGACAACATCCCAAAAAGAAAATAATTTCATCTTCATTCCAACACTTTACTCCACACTCACACATTATCATGCTTTTGCAGAGGTGTCAGAATACAACAATTAGAAGACTATACGATAAAAATACACAACACTATCCACTCCAAACTTCCAAGTTCAAGAACCCCTTCCTTCTAAAGTGCAGGCATTGTAATTCCCATTTCCAGGACTCAAGTCCGACTGAAGAAACTAACAGGTTTCACTGAATCCCCTTCATAAATATTACCGGCTCACACTCACAAAGATCGTATGGTCCCAAGTAGCATGTCGCTCCATTCACTCCTTTCTAACACGCTCATGCACGTTGCTGGACGTCCAAGCACCTCGCCCACAAAGCCTCCTTTCCCCCTCTTTCCAACCTTTGAGGATGACCCTACCCCTCTTTCTTCCCCTTAGAATTATATGCTTTCATGTCATTCTACTTTGATCCCTTCTCTCTAAATGACCAAACACTTAAAACCCCTCTTCTGCCCTCTGACTAATGCTTTTATTAACTCCACACCTTCTACTAAGTTCCACACTCGAATTTCTGCATAATATTTACTCCACACATTGACCTTAGACAGGGACATCTCACCTGCCTCCAACCGTCTCCTCTCGCTGCTGCATTTACCACAAGCTTCACATCCATATATGTGTTGGTACTACTCTACTTTCATACATTCCTTCTTTGCCGCCATAGAAACGTTTTTGATCCACATATACTAAACGCACCACTCACCTTTTTCCCTCATCAATTCTAATGATTAACTTCATCCTTCATAAGCATAGATATATCCGCGAAACCCACGTCAACTCCCAAGTATCTTGAAAACATTCACTTCTTCCATACTCCTCCTCCCCATTTGATATCCAATTTTCTTCTTTATCTAAATCATTTGATACCCTCATCACCTTACTCTTTTCTATGTTCACTTTCACACTTTCTACCTATACACACATTCTCAAACTCAACTCCACTAACCTTTGCAATGTTTCTTTAGAATCTCCATATGCACAGTATACTGCAAAAAGTAATCAGGTGTCAATTCCATTTTGATTTGATTCCCCAAAATTAATCCCAACCCTTCCCGAACCCCTAGCATTTATTCTTTTTACAACCATCTATAATATATTAAACAACCATAGGTGACATTACACATCCCTGTCTAAGACTACTTTTACCCGGGAAGTATTCTCCTCTCTTCTTGCACACCCTAACCTGAGCCTCACATCCTCATAAAGCTCTTTACAGATTTAGTAACTTACCACCTATTCATAAATTGCAACATCTGCCACATTGTCCTTCTATCCACTCCTATCATATGCCTTTTCTAAATCCATAAATGCAATAAAAACTTCCTACTTTATCTAATACTGTTCAGATATATGCTTAAATGTAAACACTTGATCTACACACCCCTACCCACTCTGAAGGCTCCTTGCTCATCCGCATTTCTTCATAGTATACCTCTAATTCTTTCCAACTTATAAACTTACTGTATACTTTTCCTGGTATACTCAGTAAACTTTTTCTCTATATTTTTACAATCTCTTTTGTCCCCTTGCCCTTTTTATAAGGGAACTATACAGGCTCTCTCAGCAATCCCTAGGTACCTTCCTCTTTTCATACTTTCTTTCACATATACCACAGTACCAACCACTCCAACACTATATCCCCACTGCTTTTAACAATTTCTGTACATGTCCATAGTTCCAGCTGCTTTACCCCTTTCATCTACGTAATGCCTCCACGGTACCTCCACCACACTTACCATCTGCTTTCTTCACTCCTAAAAGATGGTATACCTCCCTGGCAGGGCTGAAATTACGCCTCCCTTTCTTCCTCAACATTTAAAAAGTGCCGCAATTTCTGTCTCGCCATTACAATTCCTCCCTCTCCCATCTACTAACTCCCTACTTGTTTCTTTCATGACAAATCCTATTTTCTACGTTTTTAAAATTGTTTACTCACTCCAAAATTTTTTCTTATTTCATTAAAATTGCTTGACAGTGCCTCTCCCTCTTATCTGCTGAGCTGCTCCGTGTGCACTGCTCGCTACTCTCTGCAACGGGCTTGTACGTCTGCGAGTAGCGGCTCCGGTGTTGATAGCATCGGCTGCTTTGGATAAAACCTCTCTTATCAGCTACGAGCTGGCTCTGTTTCACACCCTTTACTCTCAATTCCAACAATCACGTCCCGCTTGCCTCTCTGCCCCACCGCTTTTAACCTCTAACTGATGCCCCATCTGGCGAATTACAGGCATGTTATACGATGTACATCTACTCCTCGGCTTTCCCCCCTGACTATATCTCGGCACTAGCCAACTTTTCTGGCCTGTAGTCGAGGGAGTGAGCGCACTGATCTGCAGCCGCCCGGAGGTTAACTACGGGCACCGCCCGCGGATGGTGGCCACCTCCGCGGGGACCAGCGTCCTCGGAAGCGTACCGGGAGCGATAACTAATTAAGGATCGGATAGCAGGTGCCCCGCGTGTAATCTGGTTCTATCCCGGGGATGAAGTAACAAGCTTAAGGGTTTCTCACCAAGACTGTAGTGAACTATCGACGTGCTTGGTCGGGCGTCTGATTACCGGGGAGTGGGTTGGGAGCCGCGGGGGCTGTTTTGTGGTTGGTCGGTGGTCCATTGGTCTGGCGTCACAGTGCGACTAGGAATGGCGCCAGGGTCTGTGACGGGTACCCAAAATGGTCCGTCAGTCGCACGACTGATATGGGGTCACATCGGGTGATGGATAGCGTTGGGTGGGGATTTTTTTTTATGGGGGTAGGGGCGGGAGGGGTGTAAGGGCCTTTTTTTTTTATTTTATATTTTAGCCGGCGGCCTGGGGCGGGGGGCATTTAAGGGGGGGATCAACTTTACTAATGAGTCGCGCTCTCGGTGGCTTTTCGAGACCACTCGCCTGGATCGCATATGGGACCTGTCTGCGCTCGCGAGAGCCGCTTCATACGGAGCGCGGAGCTCTGGGGCTGTTGTCGACTAGTAGATGATTACCTCGGGGCTAGAGCCTGAGGGTGGGGTATGCCTCAGAAGCGAGATTGGGATGCAGGGGGTGGCAGCAGCGGGGAAGGACCAGTGTGTGTGTGTGTGTGTGTGTGTGAGAGTGTCGTTGTGTGATCGTGTGTGTGTGGGGGTAGTGTTGTTAGTGAGGTCGTGTGAAGTGTGTGTGTGTGTGCTGGTGAGTGTGTGTGTCGGATGTTTTTGTGTGTATGTTGTGTGTGTGTGTTATGTGTGTTGTGCTGTGTATGTGTGTGTGTGTGTATTGAAGTGTAGTGAGGTGAGTATTGTGAGTCGTGTCGTGAGTATGTGTGTGTAGTGTGTGTATGTGAGTGAGTATGTGAGTGTGTGTGGGTGTCTGTCGCGTGTGTGGTGGGAGTGTTATTTTTGTGTTGGGTGTTG